TTCCTGCCTATGCAGGGGGTCAGACTCGATGATCTATTGAGGTCCCTTCTGACCCTAACATCTATGAATCTATGAATAGAGCCAGGATTGCAAAATATAATCATGACTCTCAAGTGTCACTCCTTTAAAAAGGAGTTCCTTTTGCACCTGGAAGAAGTCCAAAGTCTAAACAGCTAAAGAAGAGTAATCATTGAAAATGAACATCAGTCATGGGTAGGGCCTGGTTTAAATCATGATTTTGCGTTTTTCATTAAAATAAAAATTAAGTGATTTTCACAAAAAATGTGATTTGCAACAAAATGATGGGCGCTTACTGGGGAACTGTCCAGCAAGTGGCCATATCATGGCATTTCACTGCAACAAGATGGTTTCTGCAGGCTGCGGAAAGCATTCCCCAGCCAGCAGCCAAAAGCCTATCAGCCCAGGGGAGGAAGGGGAAGGGGGAGGGCTGCAAAAAGGACAGGGGAAGGATAGAGCTTGGGGATGGGGAGGGAAGGGGCTGTTTGCTCCTCCAGGCAGAAAAACTGGGATGCCTGGGGTTGGGGGGAAAGAACACATGTGCAGAGCAAACAGCCCCTCCTCTACTCAGTGCCAGGGCCATCTGCCAAGGCAGACCCCAGGCACTGCCAACACCCCCACCCATTTTGGAGGCTCTTGGCAGGATTATTCAAGCAGCTACATCATTACCTGTCTGCTTTCCTGCTCCAATCATGCTGCTCTTCGCTTTCAATAAGAAAAAATCTAAGCAAACCAAGAACATCTCAGCCCAGGACCAGGTAAAGTAGTATCCTACAGGAACTCTCCAGCCAGATGGTGGCAAGCTCTTCTGCTCATTCTGTAATGCGATGTTGGACTTGTGCAGCAAGAACAGTATTGATCGGCATTTGGAGTCTGAATCCCACAAAAAGCGGAAGGCTGCTGCTGCTGCCCAGGGTGAAAATGAGCCCAAGAAACAGGTGACCATGTCCTCCATGTTCAAGGGGATGACAGAGAACAGCAAGGCAAGGAGAAAGGTAGCATTCACACCTATTAGAACCTTTATGGCTGTGCCAACATTCCCTTGGAGAAAGCTGACAACCAGGTGGTAAGAACCTACCTAGCCCCGGAATGTCCCAAAGGGGGAGATCATCCCTTCTGCAAGCAACCTTCACAGAAACTATCTGTCAGCCTTGGTGACTTCCCATGCCAAGGCTACAAAATCTGCCTTTGAACCACTTTTTTCCCTGCTGTTTGAGTGGAGTGAGTGTGTGTCCATCTGTGTGTGTGTAGAGGGTGGGCAGGGTGGGGGCAGCTGTCAGCACACACTGGGAACCGCAGTGCCTTTAGAGCACAAGTGGGCAAAATAGGGCCTGTGGGTCAGATCCAGCCTACCAATTGACTGAATCTGGCCTGCTGCTGACCCCGTGGTGCTCCACATGGAGCCAAGCCGAGCCAAGTCCACTCCCTGCACCACACTCTTGCCGGCAGCCCACACCACACTCTTGCCGGCACCCACCTACCTGGGTCCTGGCCAGTGTGCATTTTCTGGTAGGGCTGTTCCCAGTGCAACTGCAGCCGGGCAGCATCTGCCCAGTGTGTCGAGCTCTGGCTGTAGCTCCTGGCTGCCTTCCACCCACCCAGTGCAATGTGCACAGTTTCCGGTGCAGCTGTTTCCAGTGCAGCTGCAGCCAGCCAGGTGCTGCTCTGCTCCCCTCACCTCCCAGCTGGCTGCAACCACACCAGGAACAGCCCAGCCAGAAGCTGTGCGCACTGGCCAGAGCCCGGGCCAGCCAGGCTGTTCTGCTCCCCTTGCATCCTGCTGTGGCTGCTCCTGAAAATGGATGCCCCTGCCATGATCAGGCCATGATATTAGCAAGCTGGACTCACGGTTTAAACTAGGCCCAGTCATGGGTGTGCTAAATAGCCAGAGAAGCAGATCTTTGCAGGCATTTGAACCAGGTCCTTCCCAACAATGATGAATTTACAATTGAAAAGAACAGACTCATAAAAATAACTCCTGTGAACAGGCTATTCAAGGAAGGACACTTCTCACAGTGGAGGAAATTAAATGAGAGACAGTACATCTTGTCTGAAAGGATGCAAATATTCTCCCGGTCATAATCAGATCCATAAAGTCTTCAGGTATAGTAAGCATGCACCCTTCGTGGGGGGGGGGACAGGAAGTTACATGCATAGCATGGACTTCCCAGTGGAGGATGTATGTAAATGGCCAGGCAAGAAACCATACTTAAACACTGCCAGGACAGCAGGGGTTTGTCTTCAGTTTCTCAAGCATAAGGAATGGCTTTAGGTCTTCAGTCAGCAGACTGAATATTCTGACTTGCAGGAGAAGGGGCAGGAGGCCTTACCAGAAAGGCCAAAAGCAGAAACTGCTTTCTAACCTGTTGAGCTGCATAGAAACTGCAGTCATGGGGTTAAGATACAGGGTTAAAAAAAATTATTATTCTGATATTTTCTTTTGATTGTTTAGTCTTATATCTTTATCTGTCTCTCAGCATATAATTACTGATTTATAATGTTTGTTCATTTTCATAGTAAGTTTTGTTTTCATCTTTTATATCACACAATTGTCAGCGATAACTGTGATCTCAGAGCATTTGACCATACAGACAGGCCTCTTCCGAGGAAGGGAGGGAATCTTTCTTTTCTGAGCACCTAATGAAACAAGAGTGGGTTTCTTTTAGCTGACAAAATCCCCTCTACTAAGATCAGGCAAGACTTAAATGAGGCAGGTAAAGTTGAGGTGCCTTCAGGTCTCTTCAATGCTGAGATGCCACTGGTCAAGAAAGTGATCTTCATATGCCTGCTTCCTGCCTGGCTCCTTGGTGTTCCTTGACAAACAGGAGGCTCCATCTACACCTCACTCCCATCTCTTTATTGTCTGTCAGGCAGTGTACCACACTCCCCGTTAGTAAATTCTGGATCTGCCCCTGCTGATATGTCAGGGAACAGACAGCCTGTGTTTTGGACAAGGAGGAGTTCCAGGGGACTTCAGCAGTTTTAGGTAAATATTTGCCCTAGATTATGATAGTTGAAGTAAGAGATTAAGTACGCAAAGATGACTGATGTTAGAATGACATAACAATGTTGTTCTTACAAAAAATGTCATTTCAAAGTCCAAAAGTAGTGAGAAATCTACCCTTGATGATGGCCAGTCACAGCTGCAGCCCATATCCCTTTCCTAGACTAAGCAACCCTAAGAACTAGAGGTGCACTAATACATTGGTCCGATATCAGATTGGCACCAATGTAAAGAAAATTATCTATATTGGAAATTAGCCTGAAGTGGCCAATAATTTGGCAGATAAATGGCCTGTGCATGCGCACAGCTGCAGCACAGCACGTAGCCAGTGAGGAGCACAGCCGGCAGCACGGAGAGCTGTGTGCAGCTGGTAAGTCTGTTGTTGTGGGAAGAGTGTGGGGCTGAGGCAGGGGCAGGCACTGCCCAGCTGGGGCGGGGGCAGGGGAAGGGAGGGAGGGCAGATCTCACTTCTGCGCACAGCTCGTTCAGTGCTTGTTTGCTTATCCAGTGGCTCCCACCACTGGTACCGCCGCCCATCCGGGAGGGCATGGGGGGAGGGGTGCCCCCAGATCAGCGTGGGGCAGGAGGCAGTGGCACTGGGAGGGGGGCTATGGGGCAGCAACAGTGATATTGGGTGTGGCTGCAGCCCTCCCTGTAGCCCCCTCCCGGTGCCAGGCCCAGCCTGCAGCTGCAGCCTGCCCTGCTGCTACAGCCCACCCTGCCTGTGCCCCACACAGATCTGGGGCACATGCCCCCCTGTGGCCTCCCGGAGTGTGCGCAGCAGCAAGATCCTCCCTCTCCTCTCCTTGCGCCCCGCCAGATGAGCTGCAGCTCTGTACCATGCCCTGCCCCGCCCCAGCTAGGCAGCGCTTGCCCCAGCCCCACTCCCTCACTTACCACAGGGGCCTTGACCTGCCCCCCAACACCCCTTTCCTCCCCACTCCCCTTCCACCACACCAGACTTACCAGCTGCATGCAGCTGTATCGGAAATCAGATCAGCATCAGCAGATATGCCTCCTTAAAAATCAGCTATCGGTATCAGCCCCAAAAATCTATCAGTGCACCCCTACTAAGGTACTACTCCTACTGGTTTGCTACCTAGGGACACTGTTCTTTAAAGCTCCCCTCTGGCCTCTATTAAAGGCCTGTATTATTTATGACATAATTCATCACTAAACCCATGCAAAAGTTGTTTTTTTTAATCCAGAATGAATGATATTGTGTGACTAGGGAAGAGTTTCCTATGATTAGTGTCTTTTCATGCTCTACACTAGGGCTGTCTAACTGCCAGGGTCCACAATAGCTGCAGCCATATGTTGCATGGGCCAGATTAGCACAAGCTATGCCCTCCACCCTTCCCCACTTCTCTGTGAATGCAAGCAGACCCTCTCCCCAACTTCTGCATTGCACATGGGAACACAGCTCTCCAGATGCAGACTGTCCCAACACTGCAAGCTGCGCTGCTCTGCCCTGCCCCTTGAGGAAATGAAAGAGACCCTGGGTTGGCTGCTGCTGCTGCTGCTGCAGCTGGAGCAATAGGGTGAGCGGCAGCTGAGTGGGAGCTTGTGGGGCTGCAGATTAACTCATGGACCACCAGTTGAACAGCCCTGCCCTGCCCTACCTGGAATAATTCCTCTGGTGCAGTACACGGGGCTCCCTCCTTTTCATCACTTAAATCTCTTCTTAAAAATGTGTCTGTAAATTCTAACTTCATCACTTTTTTGGACCTAGAACTAAACAAATGAAACCTCTCATGCATCTCCTGCAAGAAAGCTGTATTGCAGAATGTATAACAGATTAGCAGCTTACATTTTAGAACATATTTTTTAAAATAGAAAAGTTATTACATACCTGCCCATCTACATCAAAGGCCAAGCAAGCTATACCATGTGTGTGAACATCTTTCAGTATTGAAACAGTTTGCACAGTGTAAGAGTCCCAGACGCAAATATATGGTTCTTTCCCAACTTGACCTGTTGCCACCAACACTCGTTCAGGATGCAAAGCAAGGCTGCAAAAATTAAATAAATAATTATAAAAATAAATAATAATTTCAAGCGCTAAATATTTGTTCAAGAAACATGTACATTGTCTACCTTGATTGTCAATGTCAATTCCTAAACAAAACTGTTTTTATAACAAATTCTCCGTCTTTGTTACAAGATTTCACATTATGTAAGACAGCTTTAAGGTGCCACAAATACCCCAGCCACAAAGACTCCATGAAGTTATTTCTAATTTGCAAGACATTTCCTAATGCTTGAAATAGTGTTCTGCAACAGACATTTTATTAATACATAAGTCAAAATATACCATTTCCTACTAGCTGTCTACTTCCATTTTGTCTATTGAAAAGCACCAGTACAAAATGTCCAACTCAGTTAAGGAGAGTTGCGGATAGTGACTAACATATGTTAAGAAATAATATTTTCTCCTAGTTAATATGGCAAAGAATGTGTTTAAAAGTTAATTATTCATAGTGTTTTAGATAGCTCTTGATGTGGCATAATGATTTACAGACCAAGCTATGCTAGATATAGGGGTGTAAATTTGAGGTTGTTTGGGCAAAGGGTTCATGAGATATAGATCTCTATGAAAATAATTAGTTTCTCATCTAAAGTCTTTTTGTGAGCATAGGCAGAGAAAAAAAACACACCGGCGTAACAAAAAATCCCCTTATATTCCTGGAATGACAATGTACTGCTCTAACTATTCTATGTGTCAGGATCTAAAAATGGCAACTTAACCCAATGCACGTAGTTCAAACTTCACAGATTTATGTAAATGAGATTTAACAAAGGGCCTGAGATATAAATATACCTATTTCATAATAATAGAGGCTAAGCAAAAGGACTCTTTATCAATGGAAATCCAATCTCTGTACTTGAAAAATCTCTATACAAACTGAATATGGTGTGCCAAGTGATCTGTGAAATCTTGTACTTAAGCCAGGAGGGAAAGTATTTGAAAGGTGACCATTTAATATTGCTAAAGGAGTTTTTCCCACTAAATTGTTGGGAAAGACCGAAAACAAACCAGTGTGCCCTGCTGGAAAGTCTAAATCTGAGGCCTAACTATTAATATACAAAACAGAAAATAAAAAATGTGTATACAAAGGGAATATGCGTATGCTGTAGCTTCAGACCTGTCATTTATTTATTGATATATACTCGTGCTAAGTTTCCCTTGAGACAAAGAGCTAAGGTGTAAATGAACTTTTAAACACTCTTTGTGTGATCATGAAATATGTAGAATAAGAAAAGGAACAGAGAGAGAGTACAGAACTAAACTGAAACATTTCAAAGGGGCAGCTTTACAAACATACATGCCCTTCAAAGCCTTCCAAAAGTGGCTGAAACACTCCAAAATTCTCTCTCTTTAAATGAAGTACTATTTTGAAGTGTTTCACTTTTTGTAACATGTTCACAGGGGCTAGGGGCAGACATTACACATAAACCAGGTTAAGTGATCAGAAACTGGTTTAAACATGTAATAGAACAGATGTTCAGTGCACATAAACCAGTTTGAAAATGGCTGAAACCGGCTTGAAATAAATATGGTTGAACACAGTATCAGACTTAACTGATTTGGGTCAAAACAGTTTATACAATGTCCATCCCAGACCCCTTGTTGGTTTAAGTTAAATGAGACACCCCCAGCATCCCAGCATGTTCACTGGGCTGGGCAGGGCTCTCTGCTCCTCAGCAGGGCTGGCCCCTCCCCTCTGCTCCATGGCTGGAGCTTGGCAGAGACTGCAGGCATCTGCCTGTCTTTCTCCTGCTTTCCCCTCTCCACCCCTTTCCCACTCTCTGCCAAGCAGGGATTCCCTGGTCCTCTCTGCCTTACACAGACACCTCTCAACATTAGCTAGCAGACCACATGCTGGCTATGGTTTGTGCTGTAGCAGACTGGACACAGACAGAATCAACAGGTAGCTGGTAATGTCCCTCTGCTATTTTCTTAATGGGATGATGAACACTGAGTTTAGAGTGATAAATACTATGCTATCAATTCCCTGCTGGACTGGTCAGAACCCCTCCCTAATCAGTGTCCTGCTGGGGCCCGGCCACGCCCCCCCTAATCTCAGCACTGGGGAAGGGAAGGGAGGGCTGCTGTAGCGCCTCCCAGCTTCCAGCCTGAGACACTGCAGGCATATGCTTGCATTTCTGGGATGTCTGTCCAGTTACAAACTGATTCAGCCTAGCCAGGTTAGACTAATCTGTAAAGATTCAGGCTCAGGCTTTTTGAATGTCTGTCCCTAGCCAGGAAGACCCATCAGTCCTTCAGAAACCCACAGTGCTCCGCTCTGCTCCTGCTCCATGAAGGAGGGAGGGAAAGA